ATTGTTTTTTTTGTATTATAATAAAATGTTTCTTACTAAAGAACAGGTGTCAAAGCCTCTTCTAAATTTTCAACGAATCTCGTCACTTCTTTTATATTGTCCTGATTCACCAAATGATAATATCGATCTCTTGCCCTTTTAAATAATTCATTCATTATTAAACAATTCTTTTCTACAGCCATCTCCATTTCTGATTGAGGTTGGAGTATTTTCACTAAACCACGAGACTGGTATATCTCCAAGCCACTTTCCTCAAAAGTTTCTTGGAAACTTCTCCACGCTTCTGATGTCAGAATATCAGCATCGCTATAAAGTTGCACGTGAAAAATATGGTGACAGGATAGGAGATAGTGATTGAAGAATTTACAATCACACTCTGCAACCAAGAGGTTTGGCACATCTTTTTCTTCTTGCAATCGTTTTGAGACTGCATGTGCCTCTTCTGCGATGAGCTTCTGGATTGGAAAGGGGAATTTGTGAATCTCAGCAAGAACTGCTGGATCTACATTAGCAATAGATATTGTTTTTGTGCGAAAATTAATGATGGCTTCTTTTGCCGTTATTTTCTTCTTTTCATTGAGTTCCAAGATCATATGGCATGTACCTATAATTGAACAAAAATGATAAAGAAGCAAAAATGAATCAAAATAAAAAAATGATAAATAGGAAGAGACGGGAGAAGATCGAAGAAAGTGAAAAAAAAGAAACGAAAAAAAAGAAAAAAAAAGAAAAAAAATAAGTGAAGAAAAAAGAGAAAATGATAAGAGATCGAAGAAATGAAAAAAAAGCAAAAAAGAAAAACAATAAAAGAGAAGAATCGAAGAAAAAAAAAAGAAAAATGATAAGGAGGGAAAAGAGCGAATAAAAAATAAGAGAAAGGAGAGAGAAAATAAAGAATGAACGATGAGAAAAAAAAACAGAGAAATGATAAGAAGAAAAATGAAAGAGGAGGATCAAAGAAAAAAAAATGAAAATGATGAGGAAAAGGAACAAATAAGGGAAAGGAGAGAGAAAATAAAGAATGAATAATAAGAAGGAAAATAAAAAAAAAAGCAGAGAAAAAAAAGAAACAAAAAATTAACCTACCAATAATGCCGTGCGCAATAGAAGTTCTCGTTTTGAGTTCGCTGTGGTAGAACTCGAGAGGATTCGTCGAAGTTACTTGAAGGAGAAAAGGTGAATGTTGCCGCGTCCAGAGTGCTCACTTTTTCGAATTCTTCAAATAATTTCGTGAAATGTACTTGATGTTGGCTTGTAAAGGACATGTAATTATCACATCCTGAACAAGTGCTTCACAACTGATCTGAGTTTTTTTGTGCATTGCTTGGATCATTTTATTGAGAGTTGGTCCATGATAGATATTTTTAATCCATGTTCGAACAATATGAACTGTACATAGGAGAATGTCGCATTCTTGCTCTCCTACACAGAGACCAGGAAAGGTGGCCATAATTCTGTTAGCTTTCACGTTGCTCTGATCAAGCAACATATATCTTAGTCTCCATCAGGGAGCAAATTTTCAAATTATTTTCAATTCTGCCACAACTACTGAACTGTTCTCATTGCTAGCAAAAAAATGCGCACCTACATACCAACAACCACAACCATCCCAAACATAAATTGTGAACAAGCGCCAACTATGCTTGTTAGTGTTATAAGTGGAATCAATTAATGATAACTATCCATAGCGCATTAGATTCTCCAATTGCACGGAACTTGCGAAACATAGTCCTTGATATAATATTTGAATAAAAAAAACTCAACATGATTTTTTTTTGAATTAAAAACTTATACGCATCCTGAATATCAGCATCCAAATTAACATCTCTGATGAGATGCGAGGTCATCGGACCTACAAGTTTCAATTTAATGTTTGCAACTTCTTGAGTTCTAAGATATTCTACACCAGAGTTTTCATGTGATTCGAAAAGTTGTTTTCAGACTACGTTAGTAATCGCGGGGGCTTATACTCCTTTACGGCTTCATTAGCTACCGCGTCTTTAATATATCTTGACTGTTTTCGTATGTCATTTTCTTCAATTGAATGAGAGTGAGCAGGGGAATCTTTATAATTTTCGATTCGGATCTTGTCCGCAAACCAAGTGATT